TCTTTACCGATCTTTGTAAAGCTTGTATTCGCAGAAATTTGCCGATGGCGGAGTTACACAAAACCCGCGGATACGCATCTAGCAAGCACCGTCATGGATAGCATTATGATGCTGTTCGAAAGAATTGAGAAACAGCACGGAAAGATTTTGGTATTCCACGCGTTAGCGTACATCACTGCTGCTAAGAGTGGTCTATCAGAATCCGAGCTTGAAGACTTGATATCGCTGGACGACAAAGTCCTCGATGATGTGTATCAGTACCATCTACCTCCAGTGAGGAGGATTCCTCCACTCCTCTGGACTAGAATCAGAAACGATCTGCCAAACTATTTGAGCGAACGTGAGGCTGATGGTGTCAGTGTTCTCAATTGGTATCACAGACAATTTCGAGATACCGCTAAAGAGAGATACTTCAAGAACATGAACATGGCTATGTACTTTCACTCGATGATCGCGGATTACTACTTGGGGATCTGGGGTGGAGGAAGACCGAAGCCCTTCAAATATACCGAGATCCAGAGGCATCGGTTCAATCTCACTGATAAGGAAGGCGTTGCTGACCGAAAAGTACCCGAGCAACCGCTCGCCTTTTACTCCAAGGAGGGAAAATTATCAAGATATAATTTGAGAAAGTTTGGAGAGCTACCATATCACCTGGTACGAGCTAGAAGATTCAAGGATCTATTCGAGAATGTTCTCTTCAATTATGAGTGGCTTCATGCCAAGTTGAGCTCCTGTCCACTCCAGGCGGTGCTGTCGGACTTCGAGGATGCTTGTTGCAATATTGAAGATCAGAATCATGTGAGGGAGTTAATGCTCGTAGCTGATGCTCTGAGGCTAGGTGGAGCTATCCTTGGCAATCATCCGAATATGCTTGCTCCACAGTTGGTGGGGAGACTTCTTCCGGAGATTGGGGGGAATTATAATATCATGATGCTCCTGAGAGCTTGTGATAAGGATGGAACAAAAGATTGCGCTTTGATGCCATTGTATCATTGTCTTCATACACCTGGAGGACCTCTTAAGGTGCTTATCTAATTGAGGCTTCTCAAGGGTGTTGTACACCCTTATGTAGCCAAAATTAACGTTTCTACATTTTTCTGGCAAACTTATTATCGGATTGTCATGAAAGAAGTTTTAAAAAGAATCACAAAAGTGTAGGGAAACTACATGAAAATTATCGCTCCATCACAGAACTTCGTGAGCCATTAAATAATGACAAAACGCAAAAACGTTATATTTTTT